AATTCTCTTTTCTTCTCTTTCATCACACCCCCATCTTTTGTTTATCTGCACCTTTTTTTGTTTTTTTTTGTTTTTTAAAAAAAGAAAAATTTTTTTTCTTATATACCGTACTTATAAATATAGCATATCGTATTCTATAAATACATTGCTTCCAAAAAAGGAAATTAACTATAGCTCTGCGAAATAAAATGATGTTATGCAACAGCAACATGGTTACATGAAATGAACTAGTTCGGAAAGTATCAATGGTGCATAATTACTGATGTACAGTATTTTGTAATAATGATGACCCGAGATTCTTGTCTTGTTTAGAAAACCATTTTCATTATCATTAGTATAAAATTCGAATCGAATAAGCGATCCTGATTGCATCATTATGTCGAACTGGTTAATATTGTTTTGGTTAAAGGGATTTAGTTGATCATCAAAATTCGACCCGAGTTTATCTTTGCGGAATTGGAATTAGTTTTCCGAAAATTTTATCGTGAAGTAGTCTTACGAATGCGCTCATGACCTTGTCAATTCAGGAAACATTCATCTTTCTATTGCCGAGAGTGTGCGAAACATTTTAAAGTGTTAATTGACCACCGAATGTCCGGTGTCACTGGCTTATTTAAAGACTTAAACGTTGTTGAAACAACAAACACAAGATCGGAATAAACTAAGATAACCCGAAATTTTTTTGACGAGAAAACAGATGCAAGACAATAAAAGTTCTCTCTCTTCTTTATTATTCTTTTTTTCGGGAGATGCGACCTTACACATTAGAATTGTTAAATTTGCCATAGAGGATGAAACTGAATTTCGGATAGGCCTGATTAGGGTCGCGGAAAGAAAACAGCTGCAAAATATATATACGCTTACATAATTTAATTACATAATTATTTGATAATTTTGTGATACTCCGGACATGAATTTTTTTCGACCCACGTTTTAGCGTTAAATCAAGTCTTGAAGATTTTACTTTGAGGTTACCACTCCTGGACACATCTCTTGAGATTACTTCTAATGAGAAACATTCATGGCTTAAATATTATGAGGCTGTGAATCAAGAATACGGATTCTTGTCACAAAACAAATTAGAGTTTTACGTGTTGGCGCAATAGAAATAAGCCTTCATATGTAATTAAAAAAAATCATGTCCTACATCAAAAACCGGCAATAGCTCAGTTGGTAGAGCGGGAGACTGTAGGGAACCCACAAGTTCCAACACTGAAATCTCTAGGTCGCTAGTTCAATTCTGGCTTGCCGGAATATTATCATCTTTTTTTTTTTCTTCGTGGAGTATTAAAGTTTTCCTGAAAAAAAATAAGAAATTAAGATTTAGAAATGAATTCTGGGATGTTCAATCCAGTGATTATCGGTAACAATGAATAATCAAGTTTTTCAAACAATTAAAGAATTTAAATTTGTAAAGAGGAAATGCATACATGTAGATAGATTTATTTTTTTTTCCACTAGCACAGTGTTTTGAACTTTAATGTTACGTCTATACAAGTTAAAACTCTAAATACCTTATTAATAATTCTTAGCTAAAGAACAACTTAACGCGATATAGATTGGTCGATGTTAAAGACGTGCAATTGAATCGATGCAAATAGAAATGACAAAAAAAAAGGATGCAAAAAAAGGTGCAGATAAACAAAAGATGGGGGTGTGATGAAAGAGAAGAAAAGAGAATTCACAAAATAAAGCAACAAACAGAAAATTCGTCGACATGCTTATTTATAAGTTAAGATAATATGTCAAATCTATATTTTCGCCCTCAAAATCAGAGCTATCATCTTGTCGATAATAAAGATTTTGAAAGTAGAGAGGATCAAGTGGTTGCTGAACGAATTCATGGAATAATTGAAAATTCTCACAGAACAAGAGTCCGCCAGGTGTTTCTGGCGTTATTATCTGAGATGTATTGATGGCGTCAAAAGTGCAGCTTGTGGGATTATTGGCAATTGGGGTTGCGAATTCGTTAGAGCACGTGATAGAAGATTGTGTCTTATGATTTCTTTCGCATTTGGAGTTTTTAACCGAAGTATTCATGATTGCTTCTGGCGTTATCGGTACAAACTCATAAACCACGTTACGCTTTGCAACATTGACAGCACAGCCTTTCGTGTTCTCCCGCGATCGTTTTTTCCCTCCCGGGGACATTCCATATCCATTCATTTGTTTATTTTTCTTCGATCGTTTGGAATTCTTCCACACAACCCTGTTCTCCAGTAATTTTTCGTTCAGTCGCTTTTTCTCGTTGAGTTCATCCTCGACTTGTTTGGAAATTTGTTTGTAAGCCTCCTTTACGTTGTCCGGTTCGTTGTTCCAATGTATGCTCACCAATTTCGAGGCTTCCGTCATTTTAAGACTCCCATGTTTCGAAGTGGAGAGGTGATTTAAAAAATCTTTGCGGTATATTATGAACGCATTTGGAGGCCTCAAGTTTATCTCTGAGATTTTTCGCTTACTTGTTATGTCAGACGCTTTGATTTTGGGGGGAAATGGAAGTTTTAACAGAGGAATTGTGAAGTTTGTAATATTTGTATTGGTGCAATTGTCAGAAGGGACAACTTGGTCGACCGAAGAATTTTTCGATTCGAGAGAAGGTTTTCGAGACATTGTTTTTTGTTTAAAATAATAATAATAATAATAATAATAATAATAATAATAATTTTTTTTTTTATAAATTTTTTGCGACATACACTAATAAACATAGAAAAGAAACACGAATTCCACAAAGGAATTGAAAAAAGTCGCCAAAACCTAGGTTCCGAATAAATTGCGACGCCGATACACAAATGACCTAATGGGATTTTATACAAGAAAAAAAATTTTTTTTTTATACAGATTATTTTATAAATGAAATGCTTGCAATGATGAATCAGGAAACGCGAGGGAATATGTAATCAGGTTGAATCCTGCACTACGCAATATTGTATACACATTTTTTTTATTTCTTGTAAATAAATTAGACGAATATTTCTCATCAATGTTCTATCGGTCTTACGTATTACGTGTCCGTGATCGCTAATCTAAGACTAAATGTAGACAACAAATCGTATTTAATGATCTAAAGTGAACTAATACTTTAATGGTGGCAAAAAGTATACTAGAAAGGAAATTAGAAAGGAACTGCTATTTTGTATATTTAATTACGATAGAAACAT